TTTTTATTGGAATTTTATCTTTTTGCAGTATTTATATTTGTTTTATTTTTGTTTTGTATTTTGTGCACGTCATTTGTGCATCTTTGGCTGGAGACAAAAGTATGTAGTAATATATAAATATATTCAATATACGCACATTGTTCGAGACAATCGCTTGGAATATAAACTGAAACACAAGATTGATGTTTCTAGGCACATTCACATAATTGTGACGCTTCGAATCTCAAATTACAAGTTCCAAATTTCGTATATGTATTCTAATCACATTGCTTTTGTGACGGTACTCACAATATATACCCATAATTCTACCCACACAAGTTTTCGATAATATTAATTTCAAAAACAAGAAAAACGCGCTATGATACCTTACACAGAAATGGTAAAGATGTTTCCATATGAGAACTAGAATATGAGAAGCTTATATGATAGCTATGAGCTATAGTGGTCCGATATCAGCGGGTCCGTCAAATGAGAAATGTGTTTAGAAGTCAAGAAGATGTGCAAAGCTTCAGTGTGATAATTAAAATTGAGGTTCTAATTTCTGTATACATTGTGTCTTACCTCTTTGATCGACTGAAAACGGGTATTATTCCGATGATAGTCCCATGTCTCACAATGCTTTCCATGAATGTGTGTTTTTAACACTTGCCTGACGACTTTCAAACACATTTTTTCACTTTTTTAATATTCTCATCGGTTGAAGGGGGTGTACGTCATCTTTGAAAGTTTTGTGCCACTCGTAGGTTTGTGAAAATTGAATCACCGTACGACTTTTCTAACATTCGAGTTGATTCCACACACATTTTTTAAATATTTTTATCCATTGTAAAAACGGCATGGTTCGCTACACAGAGCAGATATTTATACAAAATATACTTTTTATAGGCTTTCCGACGTTGCCTGCTGATATTCCAAACTTTGGGGCATACTTAATTAACCAATGGCATACTTGGGGCATATCTGCTTTGTTATCTTATCTTGCTATTGATTTCCATCTGTTTTGAGATATTTTTTTCAAAATGCATATAAAGCTCTCGTTTTGTCATTCCCAGTGGGCATGGAATTTCTTCCGTCTCAGATTCGTCTCAAGAGTCTCCCAGCTTCGCCAACTCGTCTGTATTTTCGTTCCTAAAAACGTTCTTGTGGCCAATCCCGATTTTATGTACAAACTTAGTTGAGCTGCCAGTGAGCTTAAAGCCTTCCTGCAGTAGCTGACTACGCTGGAATTAATCTGGATTGTCAACAAACCAGCAGTGCTGTCTAGCTAACCGTCAATATGGTTGTATCTGTATCCTACCGTAATAACTCAATACGACTTCGCAGGTATCCCCTATATCTTTTAATTCTGCTTGGAATATGCTGACTGCGTTTGGTAGACGGAGAGAGAGAGAAAGAGACACTCTATATATCCGTACATAGGTAGAATTCTCTCCGGAGGGAACTCTTTCCATTCCTGTCTAGACCGTTAACTCATCTGAAAGTGACTTTTAAAATGTAAGCTTGAAAGAATATTATCAAATTTACCTAGGTTTAGATGACATTATGTCCATAATCGTGGATGAACCGAAGCGTTGTGTAAAAACTAAGAAAGTTTGGCGATTATCGTATAATCAGTTCAGTAATAATCGAAATGATGGAGACTTCGTGGTTCTTCTTATGGAAATACTTGTATTATATTGGTCAATAGAGCTCCTGAAATAAATTGGGACCACGGATTTTGTGATGTCTTAAGCTACTAGTAACACTAATAAGTTCTTAACGTGTTATCCAATTAGCGCTACTTTTCCAATAGCCTCTTTTGGGCCAAATTTTTTTCAGAGAATAGGCAAATTTCAGGCCAATGGGTATGTAAACAAGCATAATAACGGCATTTAGGACAAAGAGCGACCCGTAGAGATTTCAGAGTTACCAATTTATTGAGAAAAAACAACGATTTGGTGTGGTTCAACGGTCAATGGTGACCATTAACGCGCCATGATAACCGTCTACGAACAACCATTGATGTAGAACATACTTTTGGTAACAGCAACCATATTAACTTTTCTAAAAACTCAGCCTGATATTACAAAACAAACAAAAAAAAAAAAAAAAAAAAAAAAAAAAAAAAAAAAAAAAAAAAAAAAAAAAAAAAAAAAAAAAAAAAAAAAAAAAAAAAAAAGGATACGAAACGGCTGACATTCTCTAAGTATGATTTTGGAGAGTTTCTAAAATTTGTAACTAATATATTTTTCCCTCAAAAATTCTGACGATATTTCCAACGCCAAATGGGTGGTGCAATTACTCAAGTACAGTTAGAGGGAGAGGGTCCAGGGATCTATGACAACGTAGCACAGCTACATTGAATTGAATAATGTGTGCGCTTCAAGCTCTCATATGTTGTTGTTGCAGTCTTATTGAGCATACCTTCTTGGATGCCCAGCGGTGCGGCCAGTTGACTGTGCTCTCGGAAATTAAGAAGATAACGGACGATGCACTCATTCATCTTCAAATGCTACAGCATTTGCCGCGACGCGTCTGCCCCCAACAAGGAATGCGTTGCTACATGCACTGTTACCTCGCCCCGAAACTTACTTGCCAGCTGCCATGTCGCATTTTCCGCCAGAACAACAGCGCAAGCAGCAACATGCGCCGAACCAATCTGTTCTGTTCGTGGGAGCAAGGCATACTCGTATATTTATGTATGAGACCGGGGAGAGAGAGAGCGAGCGAGCGAGACGAAAGCGCTGCAGCAAGGAGGAAATGAGTTATGATAGCGCATCGCTGCCACTTGCACAATGATGCCACGCCAGCTTGCCATCCGATTGATGTTGTTTGTGTACTTGCTATTTGGTACAACGGCATGCAAGTACGTTGTCCCCGCTTGGACCAAATCGCTTTTTAACAACGCTGCAATTTCAATAAGAGCCAGCAAGCCATGCCATTGCGCCAAGCCGTACATAAATGTGACGGACGTACGGGAATCTTCGCTAAACAGCCAGACAGTGTGTGGCCTTCGTTTTTATGGCAGCACCTACATATAGTCTGACTGTCAGCACTAGTACCATGCAACCCTCAGCTGTACACGGGACCGGCGGGCTGAGTCGGTGTGCCAAAAGTACAGTAAACACAACAGAAACGCCTCGTACGCCAACGGCAAGCTGTACACACAAACGCAGTTCGCTTTTGGTGGCCTACCTACCGCGTGTAGCAACAATTGCACTTGACACTGTCTACTCGGGTCCGTGGAAATGGGCGGCCCATGCTGTATGTACGTTACATAAACGAGTGCGCGCATCCTTTCGCATTTTAGCCGACTGTTTGCAGAGAAGTTACTGCAAATGGTGTTGCTGACATTGTTATTGCTGCATTCGCCTCCGATTCTGCTGTTCTAGCATCTATCTATGCCGCTACAATAAGCCCTTTCAATGCATCCACCCTTGGTGCAGGCGAACGGCATACAGCACACAGCACACAGTGACTGCCGATGCTCGTTCGTTAGATAGATACTGAAGTGTTTTAATTTTACGACATTGCATGAATTTTATTGCTGGCATTGCACAAGGCGCACTTCAGCAGCGGGCAAAATACGCCCTCAATGGTACCGCAAGCAAAGAATGGGTGTGTGTGTGTGTGTGTTGGTGTGTCGCTTTGGAGCACACATTGAGTGCCGGGTGATAAAGTGCCTATGTACGAGTGCTTGTTCCCTAAAACTGTAGAAACTTTGCTCTGATCATTTTGTTACTGCTTCTGACTTTTCACACTTCACACAACTCAACGGACTAACATAATACTCCAAAAATGCACGTAAAGGCGAAAACTTCCATTTCAATGGGAATTGTGGGTAGATTTTAAATTGTAAAGGACATCGGGTTCCAGTACGGTGGTTTTAGTAAAAAGATTTTTTTTTTCTTCTATAGCTCTTTATTTTCCTTGCTGGATCGCGAAACATTTTTATTCCAAGGAAAAACTGTAGACGGTTGGTCCCGGTCTGAAAATGTGTATACTCAAAGTTCATCATCCGCCTCTCGCTCCTTCTCTGCAACTCTCCTTATAAGCCCTATTAGCATTATCTAGGTTCATTAACTAATCCGGTTCCAGATCTGATGGAATGGAATCATGTGCCGTAATATGTTCTCAAAGCGTCAGCTGCTGCGGCAGAAGTTTCTCTTATTTCTCTTTTTCGCCTTCATAATGTAGACAACCACAAGGAAAGAAATCTACCAAGGTAAAACAATCCAGCTGTGTTCTGTCAAAAACTGCACAAATAATTGCTGCTCTGATTGTGCTTTTTGCGTCTCCGACTAGCGCGTGTGTCCATCTACCTTCTCAACGATTTTGCTATTTATTTAGGTTATTTAATCTTACCTGCTTCCTCTCTTCAGTAATAAGTGATCTGCCGGTGCTTCTTGTTTTGTCGAAAATTCATTTGAGCTTCGTGATAATTAAAACATGTGCATGATACCAGCTTTGATTCCAACGGCTCCGAAGAAATATAGACATTTTCAGCTTTTCGAGGCCTCTCTGTATTGTTAAAACGAAGGTCTAGTAATCGTTCTCCGACGAAAATATTTAAGCTGTCTGCAGAGGTATAAAACTTGTATTTCGAGGAAAACATTTAACATTTACAAAACCAATCTAGGCATGGGTGTGTAGGTGGGTACATTGGATGTCTGAAGGCATCCTTTGCCGCTGGGAGTTTGCATGGTACTTTTCCACGGTACACTGATCACAAAATTCATAATATAAATATGTATATGCACAACTTTCTGCTGGCGTTAATATTTCTTATAATTCGAGACTATTGAATAATTCTCATGCTTTTATGAGATCTCAATTCTTGTAACTTTTTAATGACATTACATATGAGATTATTATAATATTTTTTCGATTATTTGTTACAATTCTCCTTTTTTCGTGGAAAAGTAATTGTATTATTGTTTCACGTTTTATAAATAAATAAATAAATAAATTGTTACAATTCCAAATATATTTACTCACTACTTGTTTATACTGTTTTACAGATGGTGACGCGAACGAAGAAAATTTTTGTGGGTGGGCTGTCCGCGCCCACAACACTGGAGGATGTCAAAAGCTATTTCGAGCAATACGGACCGGTAAGTATAAGAAAACTTTTACTCGAAAAAGAAAAAGTGAGAATTCAAACATCGGAAAGTATAGTAACACTATTTAGACATGTGATTTTGAAAAAGCAATAAATCTCTTATAATTGAATGTTATAGCGAACACAGAGATAATGGCTTACTATTATGTTTTAAAAATGGTTTCGTGTAGATAAAAGTGGCGTCTGGCTAAAATAATTGCCAGTCAAGAAACTCAATTCGATAACTTTTTGCAGCAGTTGGGGGCACATGTCAGCCAAAACGCGTTGCATATTCTCTTCCAAAGCGTCAATCGTCTCAAGCTTATCAGAGTATCTAAAAAAATATTGTGCAATTATTGAAAAATATCCATGATCCCGCATTTTAGGCAATTTATTCTCAAATAAACACATTTAAATTATTGAACTAGTATAATAACTGAAATAATTTGAGTCCTCCTTGTTGAATAACGGTAGTTTTAGCTACGGTCAACCATGTGACATAAATGAAACTGACAAATTTGTAATAAGCTCAAAGCGCTTTATCGACACACAAGCACCTTATGATCTTTAAAGTAGATTAAGTAAATCAACGGACTGACGTACAGCGCCGATTGGCTTAGACACCACTTATGCGGTTATAGCCGAGTTCACAATAGCGCGCCAGTCGCACATCCTTTTCCAAGTCACGTCCTTCTCTACCATATATCTTCTTCTTATGCTTCTCTCGGCGGGCACTGCATCGAATACTCTGAGAGCTGGAGTGTTTTCATTCATTTGGACGACTTGACCGAACCTGGCCGCTGCTTCTTAAAACGCTGAATTGAATCAATGTCGTCGTATATTTCGTACAGCTCATCGTTCCATCGGCTGCGGTATTTGCCGTTGTCAATGCGCAAAGAACCATAAATCTTCCGCAGAATTTTTTTCGAAACCTTGACCCAAACTCACCAGAAGCTGTCATCGTCCGTGCTTCTGCATCATATAGCAGGACAGGGATGATGAACAACTTATGGAGTTCGATCTATGTACGTCGGGGAAAGTCTTTACTTCTCAATTGCCTACTCAGTCCTAAGTGGCACCTGTTGACAAGATTTATTCTGCGTTGGATTTCGCGGCTGACATTGTTGTTGGTGTTAATGCTGGATCCAAAATAGACGAAATTATCGACGACTTCGAAGTTAGGGCATAAAGGTAGCTCCATTTCGTGCTTTCAAAAGCAGCTTTGAAAACGACGAAGAGGTGGTGTGTGTCGATTCACTTTTCACGGGTATTTTCCAAGATTTAGCGCATGTTGAATATCTGGTCAGTTGTCGATTTTCCAAGCCTGTGGCCACACAAATCAGTTTGCTGACTGTGGACTTTAATCTGTCTCACAGTACGCTCGTATCCCACGGTAGTTGGAGCAGATTGTAGTGTCTCCCTTTTGGTGGATTGGGCAAAGCACATTTAAATTCCAATCGTCGGACATGCCTTCGTCCGACCACATTCTACCAAGAAGCTGCTACATGCTCTTAATAAGTTCATCGCCGCCGTATATGAATTTCCGGTTTCGGTAATCCATCGCACCCGCCGCCTCATACGGGCAATTCGGCTAGTTAGCAGGCTGGAGAAGTGTTCCCTCCATAATTTCAGTATGCTCTGGGCATCAGTCACTAGATCGCACTAAATTACCTCAGGTGGTTATACAATTTAACCCAGTTAAATAACGCTTGTATCGACGGGATTTCTTCACTTCCAAATTTATTCATTTGTACTATTGTATCCACAATCATTCGCATTTTGAGTTCGTAATTTATCAAAGTTTTTTTTTTTTTTTTTTACTTAATTTAACTGTTTTTTATTTTGCTATAAAAAATGAATCTTCGTTATACAAAATCCATTAGCAATGATTAATGTTAGCAAGTGGCACTAAAATAAGTAAAATTGGCGGATAAATTAGAATTTCTTCCGCCGTTTTTGTGTAAAAATTGCCGCGTTGAAGTCGACAGTTAGACAACAGCTGCAAGTGGATAATTACATTTGTATATTCATATTGAATAACTATAAGTTACATACATATATATACATATATCAAGCTATTACCTAGTGACAAAGTGACGTATATTGAAATACCGTTATGAATTTTTTTGCACAAATGCATTGTGTGTGTATTTTTAGCGCAAGCTGGCGTCAATAATTGAATTTCTATCGAAATGTAAAATATTCACACAAATTCACATATTTATCGCATTTTATATGTATGCATACACATACACATCGACATACATGTATGTGATTTGTATATGCGCGCGTTTAGCCTTGCGCTCAGATATCGTAAATTTTTACCATTCCACTGTATGTATGGCAGTCGGAATGTAGATAAAGGTATACTATATATTTATGAGCGTCATTTCCAATTCTCAAATAATGCATTTCTCGTTTGTAGCAATGCATGCATACACAGGTATATGTATGTGGTGTGCCTGTTTGTGTGTTTTTGTGTGACGGCATGCAGCTTTTGTAACAACAGTTCTTCATTTGATTCCAATAGGGCGTAAGCAATGACTTTCTATTTGATGCTACCGGCAGTAAATTTGATTGACTGCTTGACAACGTTGCGCAATTTGCACAATGGAATTTTCTACTTCATTTTTAACAAAAGATAAATCACATTGCTGTGTTAGGGCGAAAATTAAACTAATTTGTTGCCGGTAGTGGGTATTGTGAACGAAAAGTGCTTGCATCAATAAAACTTTGGTTTATGAATGCAACTGCCTTGAGGTGTATTCTAGGCTAAGGCCGGCATTTCTAGCGTTTTTTGGTAATTGATAAACAAAGAGTATTTTAGCTTTTTACTAGCCATTTTTTTAAATTTTTTTTATTTATATTTGGAGAGTACACAAATTAATTTAAATAATGTTTTTAACATTGATTAATGCGGTCTAGAGGGTGGCAGGGGATGGCAAAAACGCTGTGACTTCCAGCCTTGTGGTTAACCGAAAATCAAAACAATGCTAGATTCATGATTAGTATGAATATCGCTAACTCAAAGCATATAAATTTCGTAAAATAGCGACTACTCAAAAATAAACGGCGTTTTTAAAATTTTTTCTAATTTTCTAATTTTTTTTTATTTATTTAAAATATTAGAAATTTAAATTTAAAAAAATTCATAAAATGGTGGCTAATCAAAAATAAAGGTCGATTTTTTAACTAATTTCTAAGCTTTTTTTGAAATATTAAAAAAAGTTTAAACGAAAAAAAATTCATAAAATTGCAGCTGTTGATAAATAAAGGTTAATTGACTTTGACGCTTTTTTTGTATATTAGAAATTTTTATTTCTTTTTTTCATTTTTGTCACTTTATACTATAGAGAGATATTTAAGGAATATGAGTACCAAATTCCGAGGGAATCGGCTACTGAAAACTTCAGATATCTCGGCGACCACCTCAAAACAAGTTGTTTCGAGAAAAATGCGATCTCGTTTTTTCTTTCCAGATTTTTACCTATTATACAAGTATATACTACAAGGTATACCAGAATATCCTTTTAAGGGGTTATACAGTTAGAAGGCTGATAAAAGCGAATTTTTCAGATATTTTTTTAAGAAAAGTTTACTAAAAAACTGCACACATATTACAGACTTAGTATTGTAAAAATATTTATTTGGAGAGGAACTACAGCCGATCTCCGAGCGATTATTTTAAACAAGACGTTTTGCGGTGATCACTATATCTCCGAACTGAAACCTCTGTAATTAAAAACAAAAATAAAAATAAATAAAAAAAAAAAAATAAAAAAAGGTTTCATTAAATTAATGTTAAATATAGTAATTTATCGAATGAATGAGCAAATTTTGACAAAATGACGGTTTCTAAAAAAAACCCCATTTTTGACCAAAATTTCAGCATTAAATTATTTATAAAAAATATTATGGTGAGAAAAAATATTCAATAAGTTACTAAAAAATAGATTTAAGAAGCTCAAGTTAAAATTTGAGACTAATCGGTTTTTGCTGTTTTCGAGTAACATAGTTCATGGACTTTGAAAACAACATTTTAAGAAATCGGGCCTTATACTTCCAAGCACTCTGAAATGCCTTTCCAAATTTGCGTGTAGCTTCGAAAATATTCACCGTAACGATGTGAAATTTTCTTTGTGTATTCTCAAATGTATGTACAAAAGGCAAAAAAATCAATTTTCTTGAAAATTCTAACTGTATACAACTCTGAAAGTTTGAAAAGTTCATATTTGTTACTGCACCTGGGCGACATCCCAATTCTAGTGATTTATTAACCATATTTATGCTATAATAAGGACAAGATTACAGACCAACATACTTGCTTTTACTGTGAGCAACGGGCAGCAAACTCAGCGCTTAGACTGCTTGAATGGATTTTCATACCGTGGATTATGGAAGATCAGTAGAATTGAATTTGAATTGGTTTCACAATATTTCCTTTCCTGCTAGAGAAAACTGCGATAGGGTTCCAGGTTTAAGCATATTCACGAATGGGTCCAAACCAGATAATCGAGTGGTAGTTAGTAGTCAGTAAGATAAAATACCAAAATCGCATTCCGACTACCAGATAATTGCAGTGTCTTCCAACCGGATATCAATCAAAGAAATACTTCTCGAAAGGAAAAATGTAAATTTATATTCGTCTGTCTACTTGAAAATATTTAATCGATATTTGTATCTAGTAAATATAGGTGAGTCTCGATATGGTTAATGGAATATGGGCCGCACATGCGGACTGTTAGAATTCAAAAATAATGATATAAGAACACTTGTGGATATGGTAACAGGTCATTGTCTTTTCGGCAAACACACTAGCAGACTGGGAACATCATATAAAGACTATTGTAGAAACTGTCAGCAGGAAGATTATCATGAAAAAATCAATATTATATCGTTAGGTAATAGTAAAATATCTTATGCGCCAATCACTGTCGGTTAGGGGTTTCGTGACAACGTTTCGGAAGTTGCACAGGTAAAACGTTTCCTGCTGATGAATTTAATCAGAAGTAG